GTCTCTTTTCCTCCCTCCCTCTCCACAACCTCTCCCATGTTTTCTTCTCTCCATGCATGTGTCTCTCTCCCACTCTGATTCCTCCTGTGCCTAGTAATGTAACATTCAGGTGCTTCCCTTCCTTTCTCCACGTGTCCCCCAACCAGATACATCAATTTTATTGAAAATAGTAACTTATGTATAGTTTAGTAAGTACTGATTTATACTGGTTAATGTAAGAGTGGGCTGTTCATTGATCAACAGTCACAAAAAAATCCTATGGAAATTTTTATGTCTTTATGTTTCGCTGTCATTTAGTTCTTTTTTTTTTTTTTTTTTAGACAGAGTCTTGCTTTGTTGCCCAGGCTAGAGTGAGTGCCATGGCATCAGCCTAGCTCACAGCAACCTCAAACTCCTAGGCTCAAGCAATCCTCCTGCCTCAGCCTCCCGAGTAGCTGGGACTACAGGCATGCGCCACCATCTCCGGCTAATTTTTTCTATATATATTAGTTGGCCAATTAATTTGTTTCTATTTATAGTAGAAACAGGGTCTCGCTCTTGCTCAGGCTGGTTTCGAACTCCTGACCTCGAGCAATCCGCCGCCTCAGCCTCCCAGAGTGCTAGGATTACAGGTGTGAGCCACCGCGTCTGGCTGTCATTTAATTCTTGATTGCTTCTTTTTCCCAATGTGTTAGCAGCTCTCCACAGAAATTTTTTTTTTTTTTTTGAGACAGAGTCTCGCTTTGATGCCCAGGCTAGAGTGAGTGCCATGGCATCAGCCTAGCTCACAGCAACCTCAAACTCCTGGGCTCAAGCGATCGTACTGCCTCAGCCTCCCAAGTAGCTGGAACTACAGGCATGCGCCACCATGCCCGGCTAATTTTTTTCTATATATATTAGTTGGCCAATTAATTTCTTTCTATTTATAGTAGAGATAGGGTCTCGCTCTTGCTCAGGCTGGTTTTGAACTCCTGACCTTGAGCAATCCGCCCGCCTCGGCCTCCTAGAGTGCTAGGATTACAGGCGTGAGCCACCGTGCCCAGCCATCAACAGAAATTTTTATAAGTCCGCATGCTCAGATGCTTTCCACCCATAGAGTTGGGGTGTACCCTGCACCCTGACTCAGCGTTGCTTGTCTCCACATGCCTGTAAATGGGCTTCGGTGACCTTCTCAGGCTACATACCTGTCACCTCTTAGTCACTGAGAATCAAAAAATGAACAGCTGTAACCACACTGTTGTCTGAGGCTGTCAGGCTTTATTTCAAGAGTGGTGACACTCCAAAATGCAGCTTGGATTTCTACATTTTCATGTGTTAGTGTGTATGTTACTTGTACTTCTGAAAACCAAGGGTTGGACAGTGGCTTCCAGACCTCCTTTCCTTATGCTCCCTCAGTACCTTATGCAAATGCTGGTTGTCTTATGCTGCCATTTGTTTTCTCTGCCAGAATGTGAGCTCCATAACAGCAGAGATAAGAGCTCATTCATCTTTTTATCTGCAGTAACTTGCAGAGTGTCTGGCACATAGTGGGCACTCATTAAAAAACTATTGAATTAATCATTGAGGTGACCCCAAAAAAAGGACATGGGGTGGGAGAATGAATATGTCTGTCAGACTAAGGGGAAATATTCCTTTAAAAAATTCCAAAAACTGGCTTTCCCCTCTTTATGTGTCTGAAATATTTCACAAATTTTTAAACTAACCCTTTCAGCACAAATCCAAGTCTGGAGCCATTCCCTGAACATAGGACTGAGAGGCAGGAGTCAAAAGTAATAGTGAGTCTAGCTAGTAAGCTGTCTTTATGGTCTCTGTTACTGAGAGTGATTTCTAGAGCATCTTTCCTAGCATTGCTTCTGGAATACAGTGACTTAGTGGACTTCTTCTAAAGAGCATCTCACACTGTTCATCATTATATCCCCAGCACCTAGCCATGTGCCTGTGCACAGTAAGTGCTCAGTAAATATGGTTGAATGAATGTATTCAATTGAAAGAAAGAAAATCAGAAGGAAGACTTGGATGCATTTAGTTGAAGTTGCTCAGATTTTCAGTAACTGGTTTTCCCCATCTTGCTCTCTAAATCTAGATGAGTTCATTGCCTCCAAATTGAAGTAACTGCTACTTAGGTCATCTAATTCAACAAATATTAATTAATGCCTACTCTGTGCCTATCTGTGGGGTACCCAAAAACAAGTTAAAACCTAACTTCCTGCAGTTTTAGTCTCCATAGTTGGTTGATAATTTCTCTGTGCCCCCATAGTACTTTAAACATAACTCTGTTATAATATTGACCACATGCTACTGAAGATATCTGCCTATTTCACTCCCCAGAAAGGTCCTCAAATTCTTAAGAAACTCATCTTGTTTATCTTAGTATTCCTGTGCTGAACTTGAGGTAGTAGCTTCTCAGAAAATCCCTACTGAGATTTGAATAACATGTGCATAAGTAACCACTTCTAATGTATTTGAATATAAATATTTTGTATTTGAATAGAAATATATGCTTTGCTAAGTGTATTTGAAATTTCAAGGGATAGATACTGGGTGTGTCCTGAAAGAAACAAGATTGATTTCCATATCTCTATTAAAACACCTTTCAAGGTGTCTACTTAGTTATCAAACCTGTCCTTACTCTGAGAATTCCCCCCTCCCTGTCTTAGCCAGTGGGTCCCTATCAGACATATTGGGGGCCTTAGCTTCTCTTGCTGATTGCACTAGGGGTGGACACCTGACCTAGAATGTGTCAGTCTCATTTTCTCTTGAGAAATTGGTGTTGAGAACACTAGAGAGTCTGAACTGATTACTTGAACCAGGAACATATATTAATAAAATTAGGAGCTGTAGGGCAACCATGTGCCTCAAGAGACAGGGAAAGCAGTCTGCAGAGAGAAAGAAATGAAGGCAGACTGTTCAGAGGTGAAAAATCATATGGCCTGAGAGAGACACACACACACAAACTGGCTGCCCAGTTTTTCCCATGTTTATTCCCTGGTTGCTACTCTTCCTGAGGCCAGATTATTCAACTTTTTCTTGGGTTCCATTGAATATACCCACTTTCTTACATAAATTCCCCATTTGAGCTTGAGTGAGTTTCAAATGAGTATTATGAGTTTGAAATGACTAAAAGAAGCCAAATTAATATACCATCTGACTTATAGAAAGAATTCACATTACTTATTTTTTTAGTCTCATACCTTTTTAGTTATACCCACATATTATCCCAGAATATGTTAATCAGGAAATTATTTAGATGGAGAATTCCTGATAAAATAAGATGCAGTAAGAGGGTAAGTAGTTTCTTTGCTTTTCAAGTTTCTTGATATTCTGAGCCACAAAAACAGAAAGCAAATGAATGGAGGCTTATTTACAAGAGACTGGACACATGTCAGACCTTTTTGGAACCACACAATTGGATTAAAAAGATTTTGAAGAACTAACACATTTGGCAGCTTCCCAAACCAGCTATATTTGAAGACTCTGCTTTCCAGAACTGTATTAAGAATGGTTTTTGTCATGGACTTTAGTTGTGTTTCAGACTACCCAAAACTAAAAACTGTAAGAAACTAAATTTTAAAATGTGCATGCCTCGAGTAGCCCCGACCCTTCTATTGGACTGGCCATAAACAATAATGGCCAAATCAATGAGAGTAAAATAAGGACCTTGCTTTCAGAAACAGTTACAAATGTGTGCAGGGCTTTGTATACCACTTTCTTGCAACCCTAGTATGCCACACCATGAATTCAGTGATCGCTTAAAATAATCATTTTGAAGACATGCATGGAAAATAGAGAAGTACTGTGAACTGCTAAAATCATTTGTCTGGTTCAGGAAAATTTCGGAGGAAAATCTTAGGGCTTTTTCCTAGAATGTTGTGAAAATATTAAATTGTAATGATTGCTGCCAGCATATTTCTAACCATTCTAGGAAAAGAAAACAAGTAAGTATCGAGCTCTTATTCTGAGCTGACACTGGACCATGGAGATGCTTACATGTAATTTGACTGCATCTACGTTCCTTTTTTAGTTAATTGTGTTAAATGTGCCTCATAACTTCTATACCCAGTGGGGCTGTCATTTAGAAGGGGGCTGAGAGGAAGCTGTTTTAATTCTGGCTTTTGTTTCAGCCACTAAGTGTAATGCCACATGATGTTGACCCAACAGTAATCCAGTTAAAAAAGTCTTCGGAGTTACTACATCATCAAAATTAACCCTGATTACATCAAATTATGTTGAAACAGACCACAGCTGTTTGCCCTGTTGAAGCAACTGCTTGAGAGCTCATCCAGAAGATACATCTGGGTGTCAGGAAGATACATTTTGGGTTTATTTTTGTTTCTCAACACAAATGGAGGAGGAGGGAAACACCCTGTTCTGCCTAGAAGTGCTTAATGGGAGCTGAAAACCTTGTGATTCCCCAGCAGTCAAAAATGTTCTTAATTCCCAAAGAGAAGGAAACCTGACATCTTTTGCTTCAGTCATCTATAGAACGAATGTAAAGAAAAGGAAATTCGAATCTGTTAGTATTGCTCTTGCCAGCAAAATGAAGTGGAACAGACTAACAAGAAGGTGGTGAGATTTTCTTTTGTGGGCTACATGCAGTGGCATACTGGAGCTAAGAGCAGCCTGTGAGGAAGGTGGTGAGATTTTCTTTTGTGGGCTACATGCAGTGGCATACTGGAGCTGGCTAAGAGCAGCCTGTGAGGAAGGTGGTGAGATTTTCTTTTGTGGGCTACATGCAGTGGCATACTGGAGCTTATTAGAAGCCTGTGAGGAAGGTGGTGAGATTTTCTTTTGTGGGCTACATGCAGTGGCATACTGGAGCTGGCTAAGAGCAGCCTGTGAGAGTAGATTGCTCAATTGCGAAGTATTTTGCCAACTGGTTGTTAAACTATAACATTAAAATTGTAGTGGAAAATAAGATGTGGGCAGATTAGAACCCTCATACATTGCTGGTGGGAATGTAAAATGGTGTAGCTACTATGGAAAACAGTTCAGCTGTTCTCTAAAAAGTTAAACAGAGTTACCGTATGACTCAGCAGTTCCACTCCTGGGTAGATACCTAAGAGAATTGAAAACATGTTCACGTTAGCAGTATTGATAATAGCTAAAAAGTGGAAACAGTTGAAATGTCCATTGACTGATGAATGGATAAATGTGGTATATCCATATAATGGAATATTATTCAGCCATAAAAAGAAATAGAGAACTAATAAATGCTTCAACGTGGATGAACCTTGGAAACATTATACAAAGTGAAAGAAGTCAGACAAAAGATGCCACGTGTTGTATGATTCCGGTTATATGAAATGTCCAGAACTGGGAAATCCATAGAGACAAAGTAGATTAGTGGTTGCCAGGGGCTGGGATTGGGAGAATGGGGAGCTACAGCTAAGGGATGTAGAGTTTCTTTTTGGGGTGATGAAAATGTTCTGGAATCAGATGGCAAGAATGGTTGCATAAGTCAATGAATATGCTAGAAACCACTGAATTATATGCTTTAAAATGATGAGTTATGGTAAAATAAGTCATATAATCTTATAATTAAATGTTACATTGAAAACAAAGGGAATAAATATCCCAGACTCATTACTTGCTAATTATTTTACATTTTACTTTTATCTCTGTTCTTGGCATTGTTTATATCTATAGGATCTTTATGTTGAAAATACTAAATAATGGTATATTACTGTGTATCTCCTAACTCTGTATTCAAGGTCATTAAGTTGATAGCTTGAAATTGGCCATGGGATGAGGAGAGTGGAGTATTTATGTCACAAAAATTGGTATATACTATAAATCAAGGCTCCCACCATGACCAGAGAGCCAATTATAAACTATTTACCAACCCATCACTGGCTGTATGGGTCAGACCATCATCTTGGGTAGCTCTGATAGAATTATGGAGTTATTAATAGATGAGATGATCTCCTGAGGTCTGTGTATGTCCAGCAAATCTTTGTAGCCATTATGTATGCGTGAGGTGCAGAAGGAAATGGCATTTCTGGTTATCTGTTGGATGAAACAGCTTTGAGTCAGGGGACGTGATTTCTCCAGCTTTGCTAATGTTGTGCCCGGGTACAAGAAAGGTTAGGTGCCAAAGCCCCTGTAGGACTGCCACAGTGAAACCAGATATCAGAGTAACCACAAAGAGTGTTAATTCTTAGTCCCAGAAAGAAGGATATCAGAGGAGTCTATACAACAGCAAAGTTTGGAAACTAAGCATTGACATAACTAGCTCTGTAGAACCTGGGAGAAGTCAAAAGGTCAAAGGAGCCACTGTTTTTGAAACTACCTAACAGTTACAGCCATCCTTTTTATTATTATTATTTCCATTTTTCTTTTTGAGACAAGGTCTTGCTCTGTCACCCAGGCTAGAGTGCAGTGGTATGATCATAGCTCACTGTAGCCTTGAACCCCTGGCCTCAAGTGATCCTCCCACCTCAGCCTCCCAAATACCTGGAATTACAGGCACACACCACCATGCCCACCTGAGTTTTTAATTTTTTTTTGTAGAGATACAGGTCTTGCTTTGTTGCCCAGGCTGGTCAGGAACTCTTGGCTGCAAGGATCCTCCTACCTCGGCTTCCCAAATCCTGGAGCACAGGATTACAGGTGTGAGCCATCGCACCTCGCCCTACAGTCATCTTTAAAAGTGGAACTGCATAGGATTGCCTCCGCCTGCTCAGCTCTTCCATTTAGGCCAGTCCCTGTGGGTTTAAATATAATACAAAGAGAGAGGACGTTGTGTTCTCACCATAAAAATGATAACTATATAAGGTAATACATTTGTTAGTTAGCTAGATGTAGCCATTTCACAATGTATATATACTTTAAAACATCATGTTGTACATGATAAATACCTACAATGTTATCTGTCAATTAAAAACACTCTAGCTGCTTTTAAGTACCTTCACAGATACTATTCTCTGGTATGGATTGATTAGCAAGTTCTGGATACTCCAGTCAGCCCCACCTGTCATCCTTTAAGGGTTGTTTCCTTCCTTCTCACAACAAACATTTAATAAGCATATATTGTGTGCCTGGCACCATACTGGGAACTTCTGGGGAGACAAATACAAGGAAGACACATTCCTGCCCTCAAAGAACTCACAGTTCCTTGACAAATAAATATTTGCAGTACATTGTGATAACCCAATTTATATAGGTGCAATGTAGATGCCAAAAAAAAAAAAAAAAAAGGATGACCAATTTTGCTGGGAAATGGGGTTGGTAAGTTTTAGGGAAAACTCTTGACATATGTCCAAGATTTAATTCAAGGTAAGAATTCTCTCTGCAAAGCAAGTAATGGGCCAACATGCAAAGTATGTTTTGGAATACTAAGGTACTTTCCCAAGGGCCTTCACAGTTTTTGTTCTTGGGAGATTATGACAACTGATTTTGCAGTAGGATCTGTGCAACACCCCCACCAGTGTCAGCAACAGTGTTCTGGGAGCTTAACGGCCACAAAGCAATTAGCACTGTTCTGGTTATCTACAAAGGAGAAATTGGGAAAGTGGACTTGCTCAAACTTTTCTCTTTAAGAAAGTTTATTTTGCTCTCTTCACTGCGCCGGACCGGGACGGGAGGGCCTGGCTCGGCTATGGAGCGGTCTGAGCTGGACGTTGCCTCGGACCACGCCATAGACTCCTTCCTGGAAAAGTTCCGGAGCCAGCCTTACAGCTGCGGCTTCCCCGGGAATCAGTGGGAGGAGGTGGGCGGTCCGGGGGGCTCCGCACGTGTATGGGGGCGTCGTCCGGACCCCTGAGGTTCCCCGGCTTGGAGCGCCTCTCTCACCTTCAGATCCCTGGCGCTGCCAGGGGATGAGTGGTTTCTAGTTGAGTGTTAAAAATTGGCCTCGAGGTTTTGAGGGGCTTCTTAAGCTATAGGAACATTTAAGGTCTAGGTTTTAGAGTCGTACCTGTGGGCTCCACCACTTAACTGGCTCTGATATGGGTCACTTCCTGAGTCCGTTTCCTGTCTGTAAAATTACTCTAACTATAGAATCAATCTTGTGGGCAAACGAGTGGCAAACATGAAATGAGATGATGGGTAAAATGCCAGGAACGTAAGGGCACTCGATTAATGGTAGTTATCACCGCTCTTGTAGCATGTGAGAACTGAAGGAATCATTAGAGATCGTTATCCTACACTCATTTTACAGAAGAGCAACTGAGGCCAGGATGGGTACATTCAATCATGATGATTTGCAAATCATGATGAGTAAGAAAACTTTGATGAGCCGTGTAATTGGATCTGCTCAGTAGAAAATCTTATTCATGTAGTTCATTCTCTTAATCTCCAGGAATTTGAAAAGGTCCCCCTATTTATGAAGGAAGCACCATCAGAAATTGATCCCAAGGAGAATCCTGATTTGGTGTGCCTTCAGTCAATTATTTTTGATGAGGAGCAATCTCCAGAAGGTATCTTACCTAACATTTTTGTATCACAGTTGGGGTTAAGTGTGAGTCTGAAAGGTTCTGATTGATAACAAGAAGTAGTTAGGGGGTAATGGTCAATATACGTAACCTTAACATTTGTACCCCCATAATATGCTGAAATTAAAAATAAAAAAATAAAATAAAAAGTAGTTAGCCTGAGCTAACTTGTCACTATTGAGTCCTTACATACTTCTTTGAATACCTACTAAATGCTAGGTATTGGGAATACAAGGGTGAATTAAGACACATTTCCTGCCCTCAGAGGTCAGGCTCCAGCGAAAAGCCAAATTGCCCCAAAGAATAAAGATGACGTGTGATAAGTGCCAGCATGTAGCTGTGTACTATAGCTGTAGTGTGTGCTGTTGGAATTTTGAAGGGGCAGGAGTGAGCTCATAACAGATTGGACATTTGAGCTGAATCATAACAATTTTGGAGGCTCCTACTAGAGTGATGAGAGAAATTTGCACTCCAGAGAATGAAACAACATAAGCAAAAGCAGAAGTATAATTCCGCTCCCCCTTCTTCAGTAATTAAAACAAAAAAAGTCCTTTCTTCAAGAGCTAGGATGGGTATACTTTTTTCCTTTATGCTTCTTATTTTTGTAAGCACTTGGTAATCTCCCTCATAAGGTATTTGCAATTAGCATGACTTTGTTTCTCCATGTTGATACCTATTTTTATCATAGCATTAATTTTTAGTTTTCTTTCCCTATTGGTTTCTTTCTTTTGGTTTATCATATATAACATTATTGCATGATTTAGAATCTTTTTTTTTTTTTTTTTTTGAGACAGAGTCTTGCTTTGTTGCCAGGGCTAGAGTGCCCTAGTGTCAGCCTAGCTCACATCGACCTCAAACTGCTGGGCTCAAGAGATCCTCCTGCCTCAGCCTCCCGAGTAGCTGGGACTACAGGCATTTGCTACCTGCCCGGTTAATTTTTTCTATTTTTAGTAGAGATGGGGTCTCACTCTTGCTCAGGCTGATCTCAAACTCATGAGCTCAATCGATCCTACCACCTTGGCCTCCCAGACAAAAAATAAATAAATAAATAAATAAAGTTTATTTCCAAAATATCTCCCACTAGGTGTAATGTCGAGCAACTGTCAGGCTGTTAGCAGCTACAGACTGGGAGGAACTAGGAGGAATTAGGTCTTTAACCACACCCCAGGCCCACTGCCAGATCTCATCCTCATCCAGATGCCAAGAGTTAACTTGAGTAAGTCAGGATAATATGATGGAGGGAACCAAGTGGGCTTAAAGCAAATCGAGTTAAACAGGTACACACCTCAGTATTCTTGAGAAATGAGTGTTCTGAAAGTCACTAGCTGAGTTGGTTCAGCTGGTCACTGACCTTGGCAGACATCACTCGGCTCTGAAATTAACCTGTCAACTTAAGGGGAGAAAAGGCAGAAGGGCTAGGACACAAACATCCATCCCCACATCCAGTCCAGTCACTGACGTCAGGCCTGGCATACGTGGTATTAATCACGCCAGCCTGGTGTGCAGTTGAGTACAGCTCTCCTTCCAGCCCTTCAACCCATTTCTGGGAGTATTCCACCAGCCATGCACCTGCCACTGACCACAAAACCTCAACTCCCAGACAGGCACAGATGCAGGCTGCCACTGATGATATTCAAAGCCACAGCTACCCTTTAGAACCCCAGCCTTTGTGGGGAGTGGGGAGACGGGAGCAGGGATAAAAGTGGTACCCATGTTTTTCTCCCAGTATGCATCTCTCTAATGTCTGCAATGCTCCCTCCTCATAAAATGGTCATTTCCTGGGAATTTAATGAGAATATAGAATTAATGGTCCAAAGCGCTCTTGGAGCCAGTCATTAATTCCCTCAGGAAATACCAGTGGTCTTTAAACAAAATTGCCTAAATTAAAGGCTAGTGATGCATGTCCTCACAAGGCTGTGGGAGGGGCTGTCACTCCAACTGGTTCCAATAGATGGCGCCTATCTTCATTTAAATAAATCATTCAAATAATTTGTTTTCCATTTTTCCCCCAGTGAAAACCAGGGAGCATTTAAAAAAAAAAAAGGCCAGCAAGGATTGGAGAGGATTTAGTAAAGGCCCCAGACAGGAACGTTTTGTCCGAGGGCTGTTTCCAGACCTGGCACGCCTCTCAGGCTCAGGAGACTGATCCACTCCCCGGTACAGAGCAGTCCCATTCCCTATGTGCAGCCTAGCGAGAGAAAGGTAGGGCGAGGGTAGGGCTGAAAAACACAGAGAAGAGCCACTATCTCTAACCTTTGTGGAAGTGTTCAGAGACTTCTGAAAGCTGATAACTCTGTGACTGTTGTATTGCAAGGCCCCTCCTGCTTGGCCACAAAACATCACTTTTCTGTTTCCACATGAAATTTTAAATAACAACGCAGGATCTTTTGCTAAACAAAGTAAAGAGTTTCTGACAAAATGTGGCCTAACCCCCAATTATTGCTGAACAGTCTCCCAGTCTGTATCTTGAATCAAAGGATTCACAAAACTACTCTTCTAGGGAAAGATGAGGCACATACATGTCTGCCTGACTTGCATCACAAACCTCAGCTGCAGCCAAACCATGCAGATTTCTCCGACTCTGCAATCCCTGAGACTTGGCACCATGACTCAGAGGTGAATGAAGTCAGAGGACTGCTTTATTTTGGTTGGGAGTCACCTCCTCCTGATTGATTCGGCACACTTTTAAGTATTTTGATATTTATGTCTCACAGGGATTTAAGGTACTTAAAGTCAGAAGTTAAAATGGCCGTAATTTTGGTGGTGGACCTTTGTATGTGACTTAAAGATCCCTAAATTGGAACGTTAAGGGGGCTCTGGTCCCAGCTGCATCCTGACAGTCTGGCTTTACTTTGCATCCAGCAACACAATGGATATTGAAGAAAGTCAGTGGCATGTTGGGTACAGGGGACTGATCTCTAAATCTCCTAGGATGCCTAGAAGAACTAAGCATATGGTAAAGGATTAGCTTTTACAAACCGTTTAGAAATGGGTGATTTTTCCCAAACCCAACCAAATCTGTTGGACCAAAGGATGTTCAACTGCTTGAAACAATTAGCTTAACTGCACTGAGACAGAGAAATGAACACAATAGCCTTAGTCTAAGATTGTATAGGGCAGTGCAAAGATGCTGCTTCTCCAATTCATGCTGGAGTTGTGAGCTTCCACATACATTATCAGGTAAACATCACCACAGTGAAAGACTATCATTATATTCCACTTTACATATGAGAGGTCTCATAGCCTATGTCAATGAGTTGGAACTTGGGGGAGTTTTGACCCCCATTTCTTGTGCTTCTACACCACCTTGCTTTCCAGTTCACTATGAAATATATTGACTAATTTTTGCTTCCTCCACTCTGCAAATCATAGGACTTCCCTTCTGAATTCTGATTTCCCAGAGGCAGTGTGGGAGGGAGCCAGGTGGACTTTGTTTCCTGGCAATAAAAGGCCCCCACGTTGTCTGCAGACGTTAAAACAATCCCCTCATTTTGAACAGCGGAGGAGCAGGGCTCCCCCTCCCCCACACACCTGAATTAGAAACTTGGCTCTGCATTGTCCTGGCTCTGGGACCTTAGGCTATCTGTAAAATGGGAAGAATACTGCCCACCTAGTTTGTAGATCTGTGAAGACTATTCTGTAAACAATGAACGCAAAGGGGCACGCAGTAGGTCTGTTTCCTTCTTTCCTCCTCCTGCCAAGAGGTTGCGAGAGTTCAAGAAACTTGCTGAGAAGCGTGTCACCTCTTTCAGCCGGAACCTGACCCACGGAAACCTGAAGCTCTGGGAAAGGATAGGAAACGCGAGCAGCGCGCGGATCCCTTCCCTGCCCACCCTCGGTGAAAAATCGATCCGCGATCCTGGGCGCGCAGTCCCTTCCCTTCACACACACCCCACCACCACCAGGGGCGCGGCTGCCTCCCGCGCCCTCCCGCGCCTGCTGCTTGAGGCTTCGGGGAAAAGCGGGACCCCGGGGCGGGGCGGGGCCCGCCGCGGCTCTCGGCGTGCTCACGGGCCGGGCCTCTCGGGTCGAAGCCGGGCGGCCGCGTTCGCGTCCGAGCGGGCGCTCCCGGGGGCGTGGCGAGCGCGCCGGCCTTCCTGCTGGGCGCCCGCCGCGGCCGGGCTGGGCGAGCGCTTTGGCGCCGCGGCGAGCGGGCGGCGCGCCGCCTGTCCTCGCCCCGCGCGGCGCCCGGCCCCTCCCCTCCCCCGCGAGCTGCGCACCGCGGCCGGCTGACCCAGCGGCCCGCGCCCTTGTCCGCGCGACCCGGCGGCGGGCTCCAGGCGGCCGGCAGCATGAGCGGCGGCGGCGACGTGGTGTGCACCGGCTGGCTGAGGAAATCGCCCCCCGAGAAGAAGTTGAGGCGCTACGTGAGTGCGAGCGGCGAGCGGGCGCGGCCGCCGAGGGGCGGGCGGGGGACGCCTGGAGGCCTGCCCAGGGCCGGGGGCTCTGGAAGGGGCTCCCGATGGGGAGAGCGGGGCCGGGGCCTCCGGGGGGCGAGGCGCGGCCGGCACGCCCCGCTGCTCTGGGGTGTGTGGGGCACCTGCACACCTGTCACAGGTGCGCCGCCGAGGGGCGGGGCGGACGGGGCGGCGGGTTGGGGCTGCGGCTCCCACTCCGCGAGGCGGGCGAGCCGGCGGCGCCTCGCCAGCCAGCCTGCCTGTAAACTAAATATAGTATGGAAGTTTCTATCGATTGTTTTCGGAGACCGAGAGAGTTGATTCCCCGGGCTGGGGGAGCACAGTAACCCTGAGCGGCTTCAACCTGCGGGGTTGGGGGAGTGGGCGGGAGAGGGGGGCGTAGGCTGCAGGGCCGCGCCGCCCAGCCCCACAAAGGGCGAGGCGCCTCACGCCCTCTTCCCTTCCCTTTCTCTGCCCGCCCCTCCCGGCAGCCGCCGGCCTCCTTCCAGTCCACAGCCGCCGCATCACGGCCGGCGTCAGCGGCATGTGCAGCCCGTGTATTAAGTGACTCATTTGTTTGTCCCCCGTCTTTCCCTTTATTCAGTATGTCTCTCACACACACCTCCCCCACCCCCCGCGACGGTGACACTGCAGTTCGGTCCGCTGTAACGGGCTCGGGTTTTGTGTGGTGCGGCTAGCTCCTTGGTGTGTTGGGGTCGGGAGAGATCGAGGTTTTCAGTTGCCAGGTGTTGCTAACCGACCGTGTTTACTGAGATTGCTGGTACAGCCTCTTCCCTCTAGGTGAGAAACTGGCAGTGTCGGGGGGAAGGTGGTACCGTCTGGCGCTGAGCGACGGAGTTCTGGCTTTTTTTTCCCTGCTGCTGCTGCTTCCCTCTTACCCGAGGATGCCCTGCCTGATGAGGTCAAAGTACAGTATGGTGCCAGTTACCGAGATCTGGCTGAAGTGGCCCCGGGATAGTCGCAGGAGTTTGGGAATGGAAGTAAGGATTGCTAAAAGGTGTCACGGCCTCCCATCTTCTCCCTCTTCACTTCCCAAGAAATGCCCTTGTTAAACTGACTTGCGCCGGACTCCCCGGGCGCACTCCCACAGCCTGGAAAGGAGCGTTGCCTTCCAGCTGCAGTGCATCAAGGGAGCTCGGAATAGACCCTGCCCTCTGTCAGCTGCGCCAGTGGCTGTCCATGGGGGGAGAGGCAGAAGCTTACCAGAGTTTCCTGTCTTGGCTCCCCAGGTCAGAATCAAGGGACTTCTGGCCTCTGGACTGAGGAAGTGACATTCTGTTTTTCAAAGGAAGTGTTGTTGTTGGGGAGTGCAAGTGTGTGTGTCAATGAAATCAGGCTCTTACATAGATCATTGGCTGGGAAAAATCTAAGGATTTAGCACATGACTTTTGAAAGTGGACATAGATTTATAGTAGGGATGAGGCAGGGAATTGTTCGTCTCAGTTTTAAAGCTCATTTTTAGGGGTGTCTGTGTAATCAAAGTATAATTACTAAGAAACTTTTTCCTCTTCAGGGTAGTATCAGCGCATTAGGAAGATTGAAATTTTTAAAAAATTAGAGTTAAGAGTGATTTACTATTAACATTTTCATAAATATTTAAAAAAAAAAAACATTTTTACTGAAAGAGCTTCCAAAAACTGTCTATAAAAGTGGATACCATACCAGCTAGTGGAATAGAATGTCCAGTAAAAAAATGTGACCCTTAATTTTCAAATTAGAACACTACCCTAAACAACCTTGAAATTTTGTTTTTGAAACAGTTTGATACTGTATCTACATTTGACTGATCACTGCTTCAGTTCTATCACCCAGAGTCTCTTTATGACCCATTTCTTGGGTATTTTTGTTCACAAACAAATTTAGTTCAAAATAACTAAGTTTGGAGGCTTTAGGGTCAAGCACCTTTTTCACCCATTTGAATGACCGATAACCTAGAGCCGTATGATGACCTCAGCCTCTCTTTCCCATTTTCCATGCAGCTCCAGCCCACAAGGTGCCTGAACAGACTGGCAACAGCTTTTCTTAGGCTAGGATGTGATGTGTTCCACTGGTATCACTGGAAGCCTCTGTGACTGTGGAAGTTCAGTTCCCCTGGTTGAAACTGAGCTGGTCTATGTAATCCTAAACTTCTGGTAAACAGCCTGCCTTTACATCTTTTCTTTTTGAGTATTGAGAATTTCTGCACCCTGTTGTAAGTTAGAACTCTTCAAGGTTGCTCATTTTTTAGAGACCCAAGTGCATTAGAACCAAAGTTGGAAAGAAATATTTCCCAGCCCCATTGCTATGCATTTACCCCCAAATAGCTGCTGCTTCTGGTATACATCATAGGCATGTGGTACTATAGACTGATAAATCTTCATTATAAGAATGCAGCAAGCATCTGAGATAAGGGGAAGAAGTAATTTATGAAATAGATTATAGCTATTAAAACTACTTTTAGAAACTTCTCATTTTATTTTGGGAGAGGAGTAGGTATAGGAGGGAAAAGCAACTTGGAACAAGCAATGGTAGTATCAACAATTAATTTTTAGGGATTTTCTAATTATAGAAGATGTAAAATATTTATCCATTATTTGCTGTGTTCCCTGGAGAAATTACAAAAAATGACTCTGGCAAATGCTGAGTATTGCCCCTGAGCATCATGATATGGTTGCAGTGGGAGGCAGCTAAGAAGGACAACCCTCCCATCCTGCCTAGTATGTGTATCATGTGTGCACATGCCCCGTGTGTGTGTTTTCTGCTTGGTTATAGTTAAGCACTCATGTGCATGCATGCATGCATATAAAGTTCAAACAGAATCTTCTTGGGAAAAACATTTTATGACATACACATTGTAGATTTCTATTAATTTCACTGGGTTAAAATATTTAGAGAAAAAGAAGATTGGCAGCAACACTGCCCCCTGGTGGCTAACTTTAAGAAACTTGTGCATTAAGGAAACAGTAATTGTTTATTTTCACTTTGATTAAATATCTGTGTCCTGGGAAATGGATTAGGTGCTGGGAGTAAAGATTAATCCAGCCCTTCAGTCTTAGCACATGACTTTGCCTTCTCCATGAAAATTGAAATAATCAGGGAGTAGCTATCTTTGTTTGACCACACTTCCAAATTTTCCTGTATCTGCATGATTCCTTTCCTTTTTCCCTCTTCTTAGAGTAGATGAAGTGCCCCTTCCTTATGAGCTAATCCTGCTACTTGTGCTTTGGATCATATCTTCTACCTACCTACTCAGAATTCTTACTCTGTCACAAATCTTCAACATCTTCCCCTCTACTGATTTCCTTTCTACTATTATTTAAACATATTCCTTCCAATATCAGATGAGACTGGGCACATTCAGGGTGGTATGGCCCTTTAAACATATTCCTTTTAACAAAATTCTCCCTCAGTATCACACCCTCTTCTGCTTACTGTGCTTTCTCCTTTTCGTCAGAGCTAAACTTGTTGATGGTTATTTATACTGTCTTCATTTCTCCCACCTTCTCCTCAGTCTGCTCTAATCAAAGCCTACTTTGTCATTTTACCAAAGCTATTCTCACAAAGGCACGAGTGACACCCAGGCCACTAAATTCAGAAGATGATTTTTTTAAACTCATTTTAATTAATCTCTTCACTGCTTGGTTATAGTTAAGCACTCACACCTTTTTCAAACACTTTCCTCTTACCTTAGTTGACACCATAAATGCTTTGTTTTTCTCCTTTTCTGGCCACTCTAAATCTCCTTTGCTAGACTGACTTCCTTTACCCAGTCCTTAAAGGTTGAAGCTCCTTTATAGTCACACTGGCTGTGTGGTTTCTCCCCGTTGGCAATCTTGTCCATTCTCCTGGCTTCAGTTACCATTTGCAATGCTGGTCATGATCAAGTTAAATTTCCATCCCAGATTTGTGTTCTGAACTTCAGACTTGTATATCCAGCTGTTAATTGGGCATCTTTATTTGAATGTTTCCTAGTCAACACAAACTTACCACACCCAAAACTAAATGCTTCTTCATTCTTCTCTTCTCCACCCCACATCTGCTCAGTACATGATGCCACTAACCACCACTTGCTCACATGAGAAAATTGGGAATCATTTTTGACCCCAACATCCACTATCCCACATCCAGTCTTTCACTAAAATCCACTAGTGGTATTATCTAAATATTTAATATCCTTTGCTATGTACTTCTTCAGTCCCACTGCCATGACTCAATAAGATTATCATTTTATTTTATTGATTTAGATATTTATTTATTTTAGAGGGGAGAGGTCTCACTCTCTTACCTAGGCTGGGCTGCAGTGGCGTAATCATTGCTCACTGCTGCCTTGTACTCCTGGGCTCAAGTGATCCTCCTGCCTCAGCCTCCCAAGTAACTGAGACTACAGGCTCCAACAATCAAGGCCAGCTCATTATCATTTTAATAGCCATCTGTTGAGCACTTACTCTGCCAGGCACTATGCTTAGACCATT